CTCCTTGATGTTTAACTCGTTTAGAATGTCCATGTTTTTCCTTGAAATACTTTTTCAGCTTCCGTGTTGAGTTTCTAATGATTTATAATGTGGTAGTCTCCACTTGCTTTCCCCATCCATACGAATGAGCATCTCAACCTTCGGCAATATTTTAGTGTGGAGGTAAGTGAGTACTCTATTCTGCGATGTTATTGCTAACAGCAGATAATACCACAGGGCGGTCTGCTTATTCCGGCAAGTTCATGTGAGCTGATTTATGGTTTGCGAGTTCATGTGAGCTAATTTGTGTTGGGCGAGTTCATGTGAGCTAATTTGTGTTGGGCGAGTTCATGTGAGCTGATTTGTGTTGGGCGAGTTCATGTGAGCTGATTTGCGATGTTCGAGTTCATGTGAGCTGATTTGGGACGGGCGAGTTCGTGTGAGCTGATTTGCGATGTTCGAGTTCATATGAGCTGATTTGGGACGGGCGAGTTCGTGTGAGCTGATTTGGGACGGGCGAGTTCATGTGAGCTGATTTCTTCCTGGTGAGTTCACGTGAGCTAATTTCTGGTGGGTGATATCATGTAAGCTAGTTTGTGGTGGGTGAGATCATGTGAGCTGAGTTTGTGTCAGCTGAGTTCATGTGAGCTGATTTCTGGTGAGCGAGTTCACGAGAGCTGATTTCTGTTGAGCGAGTTCATTGAGCTGATTTGTGGTGGGTGAATTCATGTGAGCTGTGTTCATGTAAGCTGAGTTTATGTGAGCTGATTTTTAGTGGACGAGTTCGTGTGGGCTGGTCTGTGGCGGGCGAGTTCATGTGAGTTGATCTGTGGTGGGCGAGTTCATATGAGCTGGTTCGTGGTGAGCGATGTAATATGGATTCTAGAACCATATTTTCTTGATAAAATGAGTGCTTGTGGTGCCGGTTCAAGCCACAGTGAAGGCTGTGATTTTTCACGTGTACTTCTAGTAATTTCCCATGGTCTATATGTGTAGTAATATCGGACGCATATGTGTATTGTTGTGCTCGTAAAAAATCCCTTGACAGTTAGAAATCGAAAAGAGCAGCCTAACGGCGCTGCCCAGGTATAATTTGGAGTTAAAATCTACCCAAAGTATTTCAGGATCCTTACCGGTGCAACTGAGTTCGTGCACTGAACTGAGATTCTTCAGACTTATGCTTGAGGAAAAAGTAGAACGGAGCACTTATCAGTTATACCCGTGTGCCAGGATGTTGATACGTTGAATAAACAATAAACTTACGAGCATATCGTGCACGTTGACTAAATAATGAAGTTTCCCTGGAAGTCAAAGTGCGTCTGCCTGGGAGGTGAGGGACCAACCAACGGTCTGCATCAGAGAAGCCAGATTTGTAAAACTTAGATGCACTCAAAACTCAAGTTTTGGAACAGTAGCACAGTTTAGCTGTGGAGGAACGACTAAACTTGTCCCTGAAGTTTACAGCCGGTAGGTCAAGACGACCGAGGTGATGTTAACCACATCTCCACCAGAGGTCTATACAGATGTGAATGTAGCAATGTATTGTCGACGCGCCGCTTGCATATAAAGGAACCTTTGCAAATCCTAGACACCCTGTTTAACCCATAGGGTGGGTTATGTTAGGGCGCCCGACTACAGCGGAGATGCTATAAAAAAACGAACAATTGCATCTCACATTGAGACGGAAGTTTGTTTTTATTGACGCACGCACACACATACATACATACACACATATAAACTATAAATCACAAATCTTTTCTGTATTTCATGTGTTTATTATAAAAGAAATGTTAACTTTTCACAAACTGTGACTAATGCACTGGTTAAATTGTCATTCGCCATCATGCCTACAATGTTTGTTTAACAGTCACATTGGCAGCCCCGGTTATTGCGCATTTTTTCTGAATTTAATGCGACAGTCAGTAAACAATAAACTTTCGCTGGAGTTAAATCCCTTAGAAAATATCCTTATATTGCTTCAATTGAAAAGGTAATTATATATATATATATATATATATATATATATATATATATATATATATATATATATATATATATATATATATATATATATATATATATATATATGTGTGTGTGTGTGTGTGTGTTACTGTTCTCTTCCTTGAAACCACATATCTATACGCATCTGAGAAAATACATTTGTCTGTCTCCCAAACTCTTAACTTTTGATACTTACGTCCTTTTCAGGACGTAATTTTTTCTTATTTGAAGCCCCACTCTGGCTTTTGCCAGGGCCCGCAATATAGGCAGGCCATCAATATAGCCAATTGTCTGAACGCGGTTTCTGGGACCTCTCCACGGTGATCCTCATCCGTATGGTGGCACTTTGTGTCATCGGGTGTTTATCGCTTGTGTGATGTCCTGGTGGGGTAGAAAGTCAGTCAGTCAGTCGACTCTTAACTATCGTAGTCGTTTCCATGTGGGATGCAATAGATTTGTTTTCTGAAGCCCCACTCTGGATTTTGTGAGGGGGGGGAGGCCTAAATATAGTTGGGCCATAAATATGGGGCCGGCACGCATGCACACACACACACAGTGAAACTCACCACTGTCGTGAGCTGTAATCTCCTAACATGAACTGGTCTTGCTAGTGACACTCACCACTGTCATAAGCTGTAATCTCCTAACATGAACTGGTCTTGCTAGTGAAACTCACCACTGTCGTGAGCTGTAATCTCATAACATGAACTGGTCTTGCTAGTGACACTCACCACTGTCATGAGCTGTAATCTCCTAACATGAACTGATCTTGCTAGTGACACTCACCACTGTCATGAGCTGTAATCTCCTAACATGAACTAGTGTTGCTAGTGACACTCTCCACTGTCATAAGCTGTAATCTCCTAACATGAACTGGTCTTGCTAGTAACACTCACCACTGTCATCAGCTGTAATCTCCTAACATAAACTGGTCCTGCTAGTGACACTCACCACTGTCATGAACTGTAAGCTCCTAACATGAACTAGTCTTGCTTGTGACACTCACCACTGTCATGAACTGTAATCTCCTAACATGAACTGGTCTTGCTAGTGACACTCACCACTGTCATGAGCTGTAATCTCCTAACATGAACTGGTCTTGCTAGTGACACTCACCACTGTCATCTCCTAACATGAACTGGTCTTGTTATTGACACTCACCGCTGTCATGAGCTGTAATCTCCTAACATGAACTGGTCTTGCTAGTGACAGTCACCACTTTCATGAACTGTAATCTCCTAACATGAACTGGTCTTGCTAGTGACACTCACCACTGTCATGAGCTGTAATCTCCTAACATGAACTGGTCTTGCTAGTGACACTCACCACTGTCATGAGCTGTAATCTCCTAACATGAACTGGTCTTGCTAGTGACACTCACCACTGTCATGAGCTGTAATCTCCTAACATGAACTGGTCTTGCTAGTGACACTTACCACTGTCATGAGCTGTAATCTCCTAACATGAACTGGTCTTGCTAGTGACACTCACCACTGTCATGAGCTGTAATCTCCTAACATGAACTGGTCTTGCTAGTGACACTCACCACTGTCATAAGCTGTAATCTCCTAACATGAACTGGTCTTGCTAGCGACACTCACCACTGTCATAAGCTGTAATCTCCTAACATGAACTGGTCTTGCTAGTGACACTCACCACTGTCATAAGCTGTAATCTCCTAACATGAACTGGTCTTGCTAGTGACACTCACCACTGTCATGAGCTGTAATCTCCTAACATGAACTGGTCTTGCTAGTGACACTCACCACTGTCATGAACTGTAATCTCCTAACATGAACTGGTCTTGCTAGTGACACTCACCACTGTCATGAGCTGTAATCTCCTAACATGAACTGGTCTTGCTAGTGACACTCACCACTGTCATGAGCTGTAATCTCCTAACATGAACTGGTCTTGTTAGTTACACTCACCACTGTCATGAGCTGTAATCTCCTAACATGAACTGGTCTTGCTAGTGACACTCACAACTGTCTGTTTTTACTTTTTTTTTAGGATGGAGCAGACAGGGGAGGAAGCCCAGGTTCGAGTCCTTGGTAAGACTGGGAATTTTTTCTTTCAGAGCAAAATAAAATCTCCATCTGTACAGTTGTGGCGACAGCACAAGCAATACGGCCTTAAATCCTCAGGCTCAAAGATACCTCAGCCTGCACTGCAAACGTGGTATATAATTTTTTTTAAAAGTAAAGAACCTTTACTATGCCTTTAGGCGTATTGGGCATATAGGGCTAGACCTATATTTTTATAGACCAATCGACACAAGATGGATGATGTGGTCAACATCACGCCAAAGTGGTTTATAAAGGTAGTAATTGAGGGTTTTTAATTGGCAGATGGAGGGAATCAAGAGCCAGAGGGTTTAGTGCCACATGGCTAGTGTTGTCACCATAGACTGTGAAAGTCAGGATGTTTTGTTTTTTCCCTGGCATAAAAACTCCTTTACCTTATTAGGGGATCAAACTCGGGTCATCTGCATTAAATCCCGACATTGTAACCACTTGGCCAGCTGCGCCTCTAATAATAAAACAATGATGAAAGAGTGACTTGCGCAGTGACGTGGATTAAAGTGAGGAAGAGTTGCGCAGTGTCGTCGACCTCACTCTCTCGCCTAAGTCATATCTGGGTCCAGTTGCAAGACAGGGCGCGGCTACATGTGAAGCGAACAAAACAGCAAGACTGATTAAGAAAAGGATGGACAGAAAGGCGACTGCAGGAGATCCCCTCCCTGGCACAATGCTCATTCCCTGTCCTTACTGTCCAAGAATTGTTTGGGACCGCATTGGCCTCATCAGTAATCTTCGTACTCATGCTTGATGAAAAAGAGTGGTCATCATCATCTTGATGGACAACACACACAATAAAACAATAAAAACACAATAAAATAAAAATGTACCAATTTAAAACAACAATAAATTAAAATACTGCTGAGAACAGAAAGAATGAACATCCAAAACTAAACTAAGCAAGTTTGAAAACAACTGCATCCAGGCATACAACAGTATTTACAAGCTTTTATGTTCAACAACTTTCATTTCTTCGAACTCGGCTTTCTGCAGCTCCCTGGTAGCTTCTCTCAATGCCACGTTAATCTTAGCCCAGTTCTTCAAGGGTGTCGATCGGCCTGCCACATGGAGGAGAAATTTACTTTTTATTCACGTCAAATTGTAATAGTAATTTAAACAACAATCAGTAATGGGTTAATGTAACGATGGCAGCAGTATCAAAGCGATCAAGACAAGGCTTGACAGGGCTGCAATGTCCCAGCTGAATACAATGTGGAAGAGCAAAATCAGCATCGCAGTCAAGGTCAATATATGAAAATAACTGGTATTACCTATTTTCTTACACGGATGTGAGAGTTGTAGAGACGAAAAGGAGGATTCAGGCCTTCAAATGTAAATATTACAGACACATTTTATGAATAATTTTTTAGAACACAAAAGTAATAAATTTGTCAGAGACCAAATATACAAATTTGCAGGACATCAGGAGCCTCTCTTGACGGTGATAAACATCGCAAGCTAGCTTCGTTTGGGCACGTGGTGAGACATGATTCGATTGCAAAGACTGTGCTTCAAGAAACATTAGGGGTAGTCAAAGAAGAGGAAGGCAAAAAAAGTCCGGAATGACAATATCAAGAAACGGACAGGACTAAGTTATCACACATTTATTCATCAAGCAGAAGACAGAGAAAGATAGCGGGTTTTACATGCTAGTGCTTCCATCGATACACTGCCATGACCCTAACAGGTCACGGGTTATATTATTATAATCAGTTAATAGGATAATCGCAATTCCAGCTTCGAGGAAATTGGGTTACCCCTAGTTGCCCCAGTCCTGTGCCAATGAAAACAACACAGAATACTCATTGTTATCTCTTGTGAAAAAAGTAGCAGATTACAGTCTTGGAAAAGCCAGTGGCATACACATGCATGAAATGCATAAGACAGCCATATGAAGGGCCAATACAGTATGCTATTGAACGGTACTGGCAGATTATACAAGAATGGGTAGATTTAACAAGGCTAACGTGTTCAACCCATCTGGATATAACTGGGATAAATAGGTGTACTTTAAAAAAAAATTTTTAAGTTAAATATCTGATTTTTATGCTTGCCAATTACTTATTTTTATTCACATCAAGTTGTGTTTATTGTTAGATATGCGCAAAAACACAAGTCCAGAGGGAAGAGGCATCAGTACACACTTTTGGGAAGCTTTGGAGAATCGCTGCTGACAAGATGGTTCACGGAGGCAACACAGTTGATAACCTCAGCCTGTGACACTAGTGACAAAGAAAAAGAAGTGGCAGTAAGTCATTTCTTTACTGCCCAAAATGGGAGCCTGGGACCTATACGGGGTATAGTGGGCTGTTACAAAAATGGAACCTAGTGTTGGGAATGTAGGGCTACACTTGGTGGGTGATATGGTCAGCATCTTGCTGGCCACCTTTACTTCCCAGGAATGCACCTGGTACCCACTTAAGGTTGGCCTTGGAGCCAAGGTCATTTTCGAAAAAAGTCTGGCTCTATCAGGATCTGAAACCCCTGACCTTCTGATCCGCAGGCAAGCGTCTAGTTACTATATTTATGTAAAGACAGCAGAAATGAACCAGATGATCCACAGGAATGCATCTAGCCACTATATTGATGTAAAGACAGCAGTAATGAACCAGATGATCCGCAGGCAAGCATCTAGCCACTATATTGATGTAAAGACAGCAGTAATGAACCAGATGATCCGCAGGCAAGCATCTAGCCACTATATTGATGTAAAGACAGCAGTAATGAACCAGATGATCCGCAGGCAAGCATCTAGCCACTATAATAATGATGTAAAGACAGTAGTAATGAACCAGATGATCCGCAAGCAAGCATGTAGCCACTATAATAATGATGTAAAGACAGCAGTAATGAACCAGATGATCCGCAGGCAAGCATCTAGCTACTATAATAATGATGTAAAGACAGTAATAATGAACCAAATGATCCGCAAGCAAGCATCTAGCCACTATATTGATGTAAAGACAGCAGTAATGCACCAAATGAGATGCAGCAAACCATGATAGACAATGATGTTGGCACCTTGCCTTTTTTCCAGAGGACAATGCTTTATTGTGCCGAACAGAGGCAGGGGAACCACGGTTCACAGGGAAAACGTCTCAAGACCAAATAGGGTCAGGGATAAGTTCCTTCTCTCTGTAGCACAAAATATGGGCAGAATTGCAGAGATCGTGCATTGCCCATGCAGCGTGATCCCTCTCTCAGTCTGCTTTGTTTACTCTAAAGGAAAGTTAGGTAAAGTAAAGGACCCCTTTTCACGCCGTTCTGGCGTACTGGGTATATAGGGCTAGACCTTTATTTTACAGACCAACAGCACAAGTCCAAAGGAAAGGTAACACAGATATGTTTAGAATAAATCATGCTGCTGGAGTAATTTACTGTGAAGATTAAATAAGGAAACCAAGGATGGTTGGTTTGAGATTTTCCAGCTCATTCAGTAGAAAATCAGCTGCAAAATACAACCAGTCATAGTCTACAAAGGGTTTGGCTGAGGGCAACCTCTGCTGGGAGGTGAGAAGGAGGAGGAGGAGAAGGAAAAAAATAGGATTCTATTATTCAAACCTGATGACTGAGATGATGAGGCCGTTGATTGTTTTCTCATTTGCTCATACAGTTTGTCCATGTTGATGACTGCTTTGTGTTCTGAATGAAGAAAAAATTAAAAAACATGATTTACATATCCATCCCAAAAATCTTTGTTAAAATTTGCAGTGGTAAGTAACATTAAATGTTAACAAGTTGAAATATAAATGAACTTTTTCTCCCCTCTAAAATAAAGGGCATAATGATTCAACGATGTTAAACATCTCAAAAATATTTATGTGGCAACACACAAACAACAGCTTACCCCACATACTGTTTTGTGTAGGACAGAAAGAGCTCAAAATCCTCGACAGTAAAAGGGACAGTTTACATGCTGACCAGTAAACATTTGAAAACATAAAGTTTACATGCCGACCAGTAAACATTTGACAACATAAAGTTTACATGCGACCAGTTACATGCCGACCATGCCGAGTAAACATTGACAACATGACAACATAAAGTTTACATGCTGACCAGTAAACATTTGAAAACATAAAGTTTACATGCCGACCAGTAAACATTTGACAACATAAAGTTTACATGCTGACCAGTAAACATTTGAAAACATAAAGTTTACATGCCGACCAGTAAACATTTGACAACATAAATTTTACATGCCGACCAGTAAACATTTGACAACATAAAGTTTACATGCCGACCAGTAAACATTTGACAACATAAAGTTTACATGCTGACCAGTAAACATTTGACAACATAAAGTTTACATGCTGACCAGTAAACATTTGAAAACATAAACACTGTATTTCACTGCCTTGGTTATAACACTTTTGATAAGGACAGTGCACGGCAGGAGGGTCGTTTTTAGGATTAACCCTTTTGCTCCACACATGCACGCATGCATCATGCACACACACACACACACACACACACACACACAAATCTGGCCCCTCCCAGCTGTGACACAATTCCGGAAGTGCCGATATATGGCAAGGTCTACAGTGACTTGTGCTTTAAAAGAGTAGTTAACTTCCACTGGTTCTATGTGCGCAAGTGCAGTGTTTAATAAGCAAAAATATGTAACTAAAGATAACATTGGGGCAAGGTTATCTCAAATGTTCCCATAAGCCTCAGTGATAGAGATCATGGGGTCACTGCATGAGTCGCCCAATACATGGATTTTTTTAAAGCCCCTGGAAGGTATTCCATTTAAATCTTTACTCAGTTCATGCTTATTGATTAATTACCCCTTTTATATATCTGTATGTATACAACAAAATTTAATGTAGAGAAACAATTGTTATTTTTTATTATTTTTGGTTTAAATTTATAAGTGACCTGTGTAGTTGTTTTCAAAGAATGAGGCATTCTCATGAGTTCATGACCCATTTTATTAGCATTGGCGGGGTGAAAGAGTGAGGTGTTGCTGCAGTTACCACCATCTGTGCAGTTTAGGAATTTATTTTTTCCACTAGCAGAATAAAAAAAAAAAATATTATATCCCTTTACTGAAAATTCAAACTCATGTCAGCTGAATGAGAATCCCCAGCATTCTAACCACTTGGCCAGATGCTCCTTTAAAATCATTAAATCTATTTATAAAAGAATATTACCCCTTTGATCCCAGAATGCTACTAAACCAGCACATCCATCTGTTCATCATCATCATGACGCAGATCCTTTGCAGAACGTCGCTCTCATCACGGTCTGCCTGAATGAAACTAGGTCTCTCGCCAGCTCTTCCGCCTTATGTACTTTTATACACAAGGAGTCACTTATATCCTGTGCCCATCTTCATGTTGGTCAGCCCCTGCCCCTCCTTCCCAGTACCATGCCTTCTGCTATTATTTTTTCCAGTCCGTCGTGGCATTTGATAGATCCATCTGTTACAAACCCCTATTAATGCTGCTCAACCAGCATGCCTGCAGTAATAAGTCCTCGAGAAGTCTAGTTAATGGCAATCTCATTCCACAAATCTTTCCAGTGGTCACAACATGTTCCAGTTTCCATCTTCTCACATGTTCCAGTTTCCCTCTTCTCACAACATGTTCCAGTTTCCTTCATCTCACAACATGTTCCAGTTTCCCTCTTCTCACAACATGTTCCAGTTTCCCTCTTCTCACAACATGTTCCAGTTTCCTTCATCTCACAACATGTTCGAGTTTCCCTCATCTCACAACATGTTCCAGTTTCCTTCATCTCACAACATGTTCCAGTTTCCCTCATCTCACATGTTCCAGTTTCCCTCTTCTCACAACATGTTCCAGTTTCCCTCTTCTCACAACATGTTCCAGTTTCCTTTATCTCACAACATGTTCCAGTTTCCTTCATCTCACATGTTCCAGTTTCCCTCTTCTCACAACATGTTCCAGTTTCCCTCTTCTCACAACATGTTCCAGTTTCCTTTATCTCACAACATGTTCCAGTTTCCCTCATCTCACAACATGTTCCAGTTTCCCTCATCTCACAACATGTTCCAGTTTTTCCTCTTCTTACAACATGTTCCAGTTTCCCTCTTCTCACAACATGTTCCAGTTTCCCTCTTCTCACAACATGTTCCAGTTTCCCTCTTCTCACAACATGGCCAACAAATTTTGACTGTCTTTTCTGATGTTTGGGTAAAGTTATCTTTTGATCCTCCCTTCTTTCATAACTTCTGTTTACAATCTGTTTAAAAGCATGGTATAATAGGGCAGCACTATTCAACTGGTGGCCCATGGGACACATCTGGCTAGCGGAAGCTTAGCAAGTGGTCCACGGATAATTGCAATTTCATGATCTGCAAGTGTTAGGGTTTGTTTCCAACAGTGACTGGTAAAAAAAAAACATGGTTCTCATGGTTTTCAGGCAACAGCACAAGAGTCGCGCCATGCCTCGCAACATAATATTTCCAGAGTCAACAGTGGTACACTGTTGCCACCCTTCTTTATCCACAGTCTTTGTACTTAGATGGACAGTGAAAAAAATGTTATAGTTAACAAAGAAAACAAATATAAACCTTTATTTCAAACATTGGAGGAAGGTTGTAATACTTACCAACATCTTCCTCCCAACTGTATTTCATATAGTCAGAGATCTTTTCTCCTCTGTTTCTCAATTCCTCCCGAAGCTTTCTACTGTTGGCCTCTCGTTTCTTCAAGAGTGGTCGCTGGTCTGTTCTTGACCAACGCTTTCGTTGTCTCTAAAACAATGATAGAACAATGTGGTTTTATAAACAGAAGATCTCAACATAGCACAGACATAAGCTGCTGGACTTGCTTTCTGAAGGTCAAAGGTTTCTTTAAGGAGCAGCTGGCCAAACAATTAGAAGCCTGGGTCCTCATGCTTGAGACCTTGGTTCAAATGCTTCATACGGTTGTCAATTTGCCATGGTCCATGGCAACAGCACTAAACATGTTTGCTATGAAGCTGTGTGGTTTCAGGAGTCCTGTTTTGAGCTGGAAAAAGAATAGACCCACTTCTCCTTAATAACCATGTCATCATAGTTTACTAATTAGAGGAGTTTCCTTCAAAGTAGGACTGTACCGAATATTCGCTTCGTATTCTCTTCGGGGCCGAATAGTGGGCCTAATAACTATTCAGTATTCGGCCGAATAGTTGCGTTCTGGACGAATACGAATAGTGGTTACCTTACACCAGTTTCTGCATACACTGTGAAGGACTGAAATAACCTCTCATTAACACAATAGTTGCTGTTGTCTAAGTCTGTCGTACCGGGGGGAAACTGCGACCTGGTTGCGTAGTACAAATTGCATAAAATGCCAACCGCAGTGTGTGTGTATGTGTGAGTGTGTACTGTGTGTGTGTGTGTGAGAGAGAGAGAGAAAGAGAGGGAGAGAAAATGAGATCATGCATTTTTCATTCTTTCAGGGTGTCTTCGCCCAAATCAAATTTGAAGATATTGCTAACGAGAATATGAAGGTGCGTTTAAATTACATTGAACGGCCGAGCGAACGATGGTTTTGAAAGAGGCGGGAGCCCGAAGACAACTAATGACAGACATCAGAAGAAGACAGTCATCATTTTTTAGCCACGTTATGAGAAGAGGGAAAATTGAATTGGTGACCACTGGAAAGATCTGTGGAAGGAGGAATAGAGCAAGTCAACGATAACAGATTCTTGATAGTCTTGTTGCATGGCATGGAGGTGTGTCAGCACACGAACTGATACATGCTGCAGGAGATAGCTGATTGTGAAGAGGCATGATCACCCACGCCAGTCGGCAAGGCACCTGATGATGATGATACACTATTTGTATTCGGCCGAATAGTTGGTGCCACTATTCGTATTCGGCCGAATAGTGAAAATCACTATTCGGTACAGCCCTACTTCAAAGTCAGAGTCCATCTGCCTAAGAGGCAAAGAACCAACAGTCTGCATACAAATAATCCAGATCTGTAGAAGTGGACAAACTACCAGGAGTTTCTGCCGGAGTTTACATCCAATGAAGAAGATTAAAAAATGGCGGTTGGCATGTAGTGTTGTGGTTAAAAAAAATGGTGGTTGGCATGTAATGTTGAGGTTAAAAAATGGTGGTTGGCATGTAGAGTTGGGGTTAAAAAATGGTGGTTGGCATGTAGAGTTGTGGTTAAAAAATGGTGGTTAGCATGTAATGTTGAGGTTAAAAAATGGCGGTTGGCATGTAGTGTTGGGGTTAAAAAATTGGCGGTTGGCATGTAGTGTTGTGGTTAAAAAATGGTGGTTGGCATACAGTGTTGGGGTTAACAAATGGCAGTTGGCATGTAGTGTTGGGGTTAACAAATGGCGGTTGGCATGTACTGTTGTGGTTTTACAGTTAGGCTGCAATTTCTGCACCTTTCAACCCAAAATATTAAATTTCATCAAACTCTTCATTGGTCACCTTTTACAACATGCTTTTTAACATCTTTGGCATAGGCAGTTTTGAGCGTGCTTCGTAATGCTGGGGGTGCCTGGTTCAATCTCAGCTGCAGGCAATTTGGTTGCAGACCATCTTACATGGTTTTTGACACTGGTAGCGACAATTGACTATTCGGACAGACAATGGTAAACTACTGACTGTAGATTTGCCTAGAAAAACCACAACAGTCAACAAATTCTGGGGTTGGTTCTGCAACAAATACCAGCATTAGAATGTTGGAGAAAGACTATGTCTGGATGATCTGACAGTCAAAGAATGAAATGGTTCGGCCATCTAGTGAGAATGCAGCCAGGCTAAACTGCATATGAGACATTTTTAACAGCAGAACATCTGGCAGAAAAGCGAGAGGAAGACCAAGAAATTGTGGATTTATGGTGTAGCCGAAACCTGCAAAAAGATGAACAAATCTGTCACCCAAGCCATCCAAGAAGCGCAAGATAAATACAGAAAAACCAGGACACTGGGCTACAACCTGGTATCAGTGAGACAACAAAAGAAGAACAAGATGGTTCTGCAACATCCTGTAAAGCACACGCAACTAACTGTTTGTAGTTTTAAGTGACAATTTCACATTCGGTAGTTTGCCATTGCCTTCTAAATAGTTTGAGGTTCATATTGTTGCCCAAACCAACCCCATCATTTATTTGCTGTTTGTAGTTTTAAGAGACAATTTCACATTCGGTAGTTTGCCATTGCCTTCTAAATAGTTTGAGGTTCATATTGTTGCCCAAACCAACATATCATCATCATCATGTAGCAGGTCCATTGCAGAACGTCACTCTCATCACAGGTCTGCCTGAAAGAAACCCGGGCTCTCGCCAGTTCTCCCGCCTCGTGTACTTTCATACTCAAGAAGTCACTTATATCCTGTGGCCATCTTCATGTCGGTCAGCCCCTGCCTCTCCTTCCTGGTACCATGCCTTCTGCTATAATTTTTTCCAATCCGTCGTGGCGCTTGATATGACCAAAATATTTTAGCTTCCGAGAAAGGATGCTGTTTATTAGCCAATCTTCCTTGATGTTCAGATCTTTTAAGATGTCAATATTTCTCATCTTCTTTGTCCAAGATATTCTGAGAATCTTTCTATAGCATTTCAGCTCAAAAGCTCCTATTCTCTTTCTTAAGGACTGAGAATCAACATATAGCAGTCTGCAAATATAATAAAACAATGAAAATAAAAATACCCTATGTTTGGCTTCATCCCGTCCTTCTTTGGTCTCTTCATCTTTCTTCTCCTTGTCCAGCGTCAACTGAGAAGTCATTAAAGAAATGGAATGAAGCTCTGAAAAAAAAAATATTTTTTACTGACAAGAAGTTTAAGAATTATACAGAGTAGCAGATTTGAGTCATGCAATGGCAACAATGATCTTGAAATCTTATGTTGTTGTCAAAGACTTTTCTTTATGCAAGCAGGTCGTTATAGACAAAGACTTTTCTTAGTTCAAGCGGGTCTTGCCAGTCATGCTCGCTATCACCTTAGGCTGTGATTCCCATACCTCCCTCCAGCACAATATAACACTATCATCTAGAAAGACGGAAATGTGCTAACAGTGTATTAATGTTGACAACTGTAATCAAACAAGGCATATGAAATATAAGAATGACTTACCCTCTTCATTATTCAAGACATTCAGTGCGTTGATGTTGACAACTGCAATCAAACAAGGCATGTGCAAGATGGGAAGATCCGAACCACCGAGACTGAGCACTGTCACACTTGCCTTTTGTAGGGCAGATTTTGAGAAAACTGGCTTCCTCATTTCTAGGCTAATGAGGCTGTAAAATTCTTGCATGTCAAATATCTGTGAGAAAACAGGCAAACAATAATCATGTCATAAAAGTGGACTAATTAGGGGTGTTTTCTTCAAAGTTATGCAGCTTGAGAGGCAACGAACCAACAGTTTGCACACATTAAGCCACACCTGTAGAACAAACGTGTATGCAAAACTCAAGTTCTAGAACAAGACTGAGGTCTAGAGGTGGATGAACAACCAGAACCTTATACTGTCATCTGATTTGTTTTTTATATACAGTGAATATATAATGAGATCTTTAATTGATATACCCAGAATTGTGGTTGGTGGGCACAATATAAACAATTTACGTTATGAAAGTCAGAAAAACTACAGAAAATGATAGACATTGTGGTGTTAGAAAGTGGAAGAATGGGCCTCAGTTTGAATAATGGGAAGACAAAAGTAATGGTGGTATCAAAGAAACGAATTATTCCTAAATGTGTAATGAAAGTAGATGGTGTTATTTTGGGACAAGTACAGAAATTTAAGTACCAGGGCACATGGATAACATCAGATGGAAGATGTATAACTGAGATAAGAAACAGAATAGGACAGACGAAAACTGCATTTTATAAAATTAAGAATATCTTGTGCAATATATCTTTGTCATTGAGAGTAAGAAAAAGAATTCTTGCTTGCTACATACATCCAGTTTAACATATGGCTGTGAATCCTGGACTATCGGTAGGCAGGCCAAACAATTTCTGGAGACCTCGGAGATGTAGTTTTACAGAAGAATGCCTAAAATACCTTGGACAGCCAAAAAGAGCAACCAAGAGGTTTTGAAAAGAGGCGGGAGCCCGAAGACAACTTATCACAGACATCAGAAGGAGACAGTCATCATTTTTTGGCCATGTTATGAGAAAAGGAAAAATAGAGCATGTTGTGACCACTGGAAAGATCTGTGGAAGGAGGGACAGAGGAAACAATGAGAGAAGATTCTTGACAGTCTTGTTTCATGGCATGGAGATGTGTCGGCACAGGAACTGATACATGCTGCAGGAGATCGCAGATTGTGGAGAGGCATGATCGCCCACGCCATTGGGCAAGGCACCTGATGATGATGATCTTCCTTACTTCTTTTATCTATTCATGGTGTTCTCGTTATATTTTTCTAAAACCACATCTCTGCCACTTCTACAGAATTTTTTACTACCTGGCCAACTGTAAATTAATGTATGTAAGTTTAGACACTAGCTATCTCCATTAAATCAATAAAGAACTACCAATTACCTCACACATTATTATCGAGCAGACAGTTACCTTAACAAAGTGATCCAGCAGGAGTTCACCCCGTGTTCTGAGCAGGTCCGCTGATAACACTGGCTGAGATACATGCCTTTTCACACAAATTGGCAACTGGCAGTTCCTTTTGGCTAAAAGACTTCCATCAGAATCCCTGCGTAGCTCTATCCCCTATTTTAACAAACAAACAAAAAAAGTGTACGGCAGATACGCAACTTTAAAAGAAACAAGTTAGAAAATGGGATAGAAAATGGAGTGGAGATAAAATCAATCGTTTAATCAGCCAGCATGTCTTTTATAGAATGTTGCTCTCTTCACGGCATGCCAGAAAGTCTCCCTTTCTCTAGCCAATTATCCAAACCTATGTGCTTTTATAGCCAATGCATCTTCAGTGTCTTGTATCCACCTGCACAGAGGTAAGCTTCTGCATCATTTTCTGGAAACTCCATCCCCGTTTTCTCCTCAACACCACGATGCTTGACATGTGCAAAATACTGCAGTTTACAGGAGAGGATGCTGTAAACCAGCTAGTTCTCCTTGATTTTCAGGTCCCGCAGGATATCAACTTTTTTCTTCTTCTTGGTTTCATTGCAGGCTGGAGAACCTCTGTCTGAGAGGCAAGGGACTAACAGTCTGCATACAAATAAGCGAGATCTGTCAAGCAGTTCTGCATGCAACCCTCAAGTCCTGAAACAGGACAAAGGTCCATATATGGATGAAATACAGACTTTCCATTCATTTACAGCCTGCAAATGTTGAAGAAAAAGGAGGAGGAAGAGAAGAACAAGGAGGAGAAGAAGAAGGTGAAGGAGGAAAAGAAAAACAACGAGACATCTTAATTTCATCAGTAAATACCTGATTCAAATTTCCAAGGATATATTCTGTTTCCTCAAGTCGAGCTGAATTGTAAAAATATGAGAGGCCAAGTCTGTTTATAGAACAGATAAACAAATATATATACATATATATATATATATATATATATATATATATATATATATATATATATATATATATATATATATATATTATTTTTTTTTTTTTTTTTTTTTTTTTTTTTTTCTCTCAATATTTATACATAATAAATTTTTTTTTTTAAACTTTACCTTGGACATCATGCGTGGTTTGATGGCACAGTCCAGATGACCACAGTGGTCAACTACTCAGACAAAACCTGGACATTATCTGTGACTTGATGGCAGCCCAGATGACCACAGTGGTCAATTACTTGACAAAACCTGGACATTATCTGTGGCTTGATAGCACAGTCAAGATGACCACAGTGGTCAACTACTCAGACAAAACCTGGACATTATCTGTGGTTTGATGGCACAGCCTAGATGACTACAGTGGTCAACTACTTGACAAAACCTGGACATTGTCTGTTGTTTGATGGCACAGCCCAGATGCCTACAGTGGTCAACTACTCAGACAAAGCCTGAACATTATCTGTGGTTTGATAGCACATCCCAGATGACTACAGTGGTCAACTACTCAGACAAAGCCTGAACATTATCTGTGGTTTGATAGCACAGCCCAGATGACCACAGTGGTCAACTACTCAGACAAAGCCTACACATATGATTATTAAATTTGTTATGCCCTGCCTGCAGGTTTCTAGTCCAGTGGTACCCAACCTGGAAGTGGCGGGTGCCAGGAGGTTTCAAGGGGGCGTCAACCAGTTTTGAAAATGAATTCAACTGAACTACTTGTAAAAATCTGCTATAAGCTACTTACATTTTGTTGTTTTTATGCAATCCTAAATAATAGGTTTTTTTAAACTTATTTATTAAAGAAAAAGACCAGGATATTTTTGTTTTCATGAAAAAAAAAAGTTGCAAACTCCTGTTCTAGTCCCTCTCTTTATTGTGCAACATTCTCCAAAAGGAGTAATGTCATATTCTTTCTTTTTCTTTTTCTCCTCAAGTCCTGTCCTGCTTTTTAAAATAAAGTTTTAAAGAGGCGTCATGTGCAAGCCTTGGTAAGTGCCACATAGATGGTAGTATTTATGCTTTGGATATTCCATCTACCCATTGCCTCTCTAGCGTAGTTGGCTAAACCGGATTACGCGGTGACCAGGTGACGAACTCCTTGTGGTCCGGGTTCACCCCAGGGGGGTAGACAGAAAAACCACATTTCTCCCAGATTTACGGTATTTACAATCGAATCAAGGCCGAAAGGTTGCAATATCTATTATACCGAGCCTAAGGGTTAACAACTCATGGCTTCTGGATGCTAAAACAAACAACAAACAAACCCATTGCCTGCACATTCAGTGTTGAGTGTGAGCTTAAAAACTGACAATTTTCACTTGCTCCCAAAAGGCCTTGATCACATCTGGCCTGACATGCATAAATTCACCACCCACTGATGCAGAACCAGCCAGTCAGTATGCTTGTCCCTTTCCCAGCTCTCCTGCAGCAACATCATCATCATCAATCAGTCTCCGTCTCCACAATGAAGGTTGGCTGCAGCGAGTCTCCAAAATGCTCATGCTCTTGCATGCTCCGGAGAAAATATCCAAAGAATGCTAACATCACTTGCATGGTTGACCTCCAGGTCTGCTTCCACTGTGTCCAAGTGACAGGGCTCTCTTCCTTTACATGTAACCTTTAACCTTCTTCCAGTAAAGTTAAGTCATCATTTAAAAAAAAAACATGTAATAACACTTAAATACTGGTGTATGTTCAGTGATTGTAGGCTTGTGAAATCACTTTTATGAGCACTGTAATTACATTTGTGCATTATGTAATGTTTCAAACGCCATGTAACCATGAGTTTAGAATATCACTGATATATATCAGTATTTTAGTAATTTATTTTAGCTATAAATGTGTTAACTATTGAAGAAAAAGCATTTTGGGTTAAGCATGTTTTCCTTAACGGTGGCAGGTGTTCGAATGTGGTTGGTCAATAATTCATGAGGCCATGTCCTGATAGCATGTTGCCTTATCCTAATATTTTTAGCGATTTAACCTGTAGAATTCATTGTGAACAGAGCTTCAATGTGGAAAACAGTACCTCAAATGAGATACATAATAACAGTATATGCTGCATTAACTCCACAGATTGTGATAACCAAAAAAAAAATGGAACAGCTAAATTTTCCCAAAAATACAGACATTTAAAATACACCAAGCCTAAGCAAGAGGAAGAGTAGCTGGTCAAATGTTTATTATGCGCGATACTTGAATTTAAATCCTTTATATTCCCCCTGTGGGTTCTGGGGCCCTATTATAGCGAAATCAAGAATAGACCCACTGCCTACCCAAAAGCATGTCGTAAGAGTCAACTAATTGGGAGCTTCCTTCGAAGTCAGAGTGCATCTGCCTAAGAGGCAAGGAACCAGCAGTCTGCATAAAAATGAGTCAGATCTGTAAAACGGATGCACACGCAACTTTCAGGTTCTGGAACAGGACTGCAGTCCAGAAGTGGATGAACAACTTTCTGCCAGAGTTTACAGCTGGTGAACGCTAAGAAGAAATTCTTTATGAGGGGATGGTAGTCTTTTTCTTTGATGAGCAAAATTAAACATACAAACCTGCACGGTTTAGAGCAACAGCACTAGCCATGCTGCTCTAATTCCTCAGAACCCAACCCCCTCCCCGTCACCGATCCTGCACAACTCTTAAAACTGGTACATACAGGCAGAAAACAAAAGTTTAAAGAAAAACAATATAAGTCATTGTTCATTCTCACAATACACATAATAATAATTAAAACATACTCCAGTCCATCAAAAGGATTATTAGATCCAGTGACAAGGAGAGATAACTCTGCTGCATAAACTTTAGCCATTTCTCTCCCTTGTTCCAGATAGATCACTTTGGCCCATACCCCAGATGTCAGATCCTCAATTCTGTCTAATGTCTTCATTGTTATATTCTGTAAATAGAACAAATAAAAGTACAAGGTTATCTCGGCAGTCTGCCATGAATACAGAACAGTTAAATCAGACAGTACTAATATTTTTTACTTGAATGTAAACATTGCTAATTTCTGCAGTTGTTGTTGTTATCGATCCAGCGGCGCATGAGCTTTCGCCCTTTGGCCCAATGCCATGTAGTGGAATTTGCATGTTTTCACAAGCTGTTCTTTTCCTCCGTACAAGGTGTTCCACTTGTCTGGTCTCGGAGGGAGTAGCGTTCTTCTTGTCTCACTGAGTTTTGGGCACTCAAAGAGATGGTGTTCAACAGTTTCGTAGGGGTAGTTACATAGCTGGCACTCTGGGGAGTGTTGTGGCTGTATTCTGTTTAGGTGTCCATTGAGTGGAGTATGTTGCGTTCTAAGTCTGAAGATGGTGGCCTGGTCCCTTCTTGTTAGATGGTTAATGCTGTCATTAGGATCAGGGCCAGACATATGTCTATAAACCTCTCTTCCAGTGTCTCCCATGGCCCATCTGTTCAACCAAGTCTCTTTGTTTATAGCTCTTATCAGTGTTTTTGCTGTTTGGAGGGTTGTCGCTGTAGGTGGTTGTTCTTGTGTTGCTCCTTTCTTTGCCAATCTGTCAGCTCTGTCATTACCTGGTGTGCCGGAGTGACCTGGAATCCACAGCATCACTATTCTGATGTTGTATGAGGTAATAAGCTGATCGGCATCCAGGATTATCTTGGCTATGTCAGTTCTGCAGCGTTCATTGCCCTCCAGAGCTTGAAGGGCAGACATTGAATCTGTGAAGATGACAATATTTTGGACCTTTGAGGGGTAAACATCCATTACAGTCTTTAGGTGGTATACTTCTGTTTCCAGTGCAATTATTTCAGCTTCATAGTTTGAACAGAATTCCCCGCATGCATCAAAAATCTCTTCAACAGATCCATCGGGATAACCTATGTAGATTCCGTAACCTGCTTTAATGGTAGCTTTAAATGCTGATCCATCAGTATAGACATGTATCCATTCTTGGGGGTAAGAATCAACGGTCTTTAGTGATGAGTTCATAAGAGCGATTGGGTCGGACTGTTTGGTTTCCTTGCCTACCAATTTAGTTTGGACTTCTGGAGCTTTAAAGCGAGCATGTGGTGGTAGGTTTTTTGCAACATTCTGAATTCCTTGACGTCTTTCTGGGAGGTGGTATCTGTCCTGAATTTCATTAACACAGTGTAAAACCGATTTGTGCTTTATTCTTTGTTTGGGTTCCCAGTTTTCTACAAGATGTCTATTAGGATGGTTACGATTTTTCCTAACGCATCTTTCATAAATTTCTAAAGTGGCTTTTTCTCTCCGCAACCCGAGTGGTTCCACATTTGTATGGATTTCACATGCAGCAGTTGGTGTAGACTGCATAGCTCCGCAGATTAATCGGAGGGCATTATTTTGTACTCTGTCAAGAGTCTCTAGGTTAGTTTTGGAACAAGTTGTAAGCAGTGAGTTGTTGTACTCTATCACAGAGCGAACATATCCTAGGTATAAGCCCCTCAGAGTTTCCTTGTCTGATCCCCATGATGTACCTGCAAGTCTCTTTAATAACTGTAACCGCCTCAATGCCTTATTCCTGATGTTTTCAATATGGTTCTTGAGGCTGAGCTGCGGGTCAAGTGTGACTCCAAGGTATGTGGGATGCTCTTCTTTCATCACTTGGTGTTTGTCTAACCTCAGGTTAATATTCTTCCTTGCTACTTGGTGGCTTTTGGTAAAGATTGTGTAGACCGTCTTTGCACAGTTAATCTTGAGTTTCCATCTTTGGCAGTAATCATGCAGTCTTCTAAGGTCTCCATTCAGTCTTTGGGCTCCACTTTCCACATTTTCATGACTCTGCCATATTGCTAGGTCATCAGCGTACAAGGCTTTTTCGGCCTTGATTTGTTCTGGCAGGTCATTGATAAAGATTAGGAATAGTGTACAGCTCAATGATGAGCCTTGTGGCAAGCCCTCCTCCAAGACTTCTTTAGAAGAGATTGCGTTGTGCATCTTAGTCTGGATTTTTCTATCTATCAGGAAGTATTTCACCCAGTTATACAATCTGCCATGTATTCCTATGCTCATCATCTTCATCAGGAGACCTTTTCTCCATACTCTGTCATAGGCCTGCTGGAGATCGACAAAGACTGCCACTGTGTGTTTCTTATTCTGGAAGCCATCATGTATTCTTTGTGTCAGTCTGAACAGCTGGTCTTCTGTACAGTTGTTGGTTCTGAAGCCTGCCTGTTCATGGCATAGAACACCAGAACTCTCAAGGAACCAATATAAGCGCCTGTTTATCATTCTTTCTGCAACTTTGCCCAAGCATGATGTTAAGGATATCGGGCGGTAGCTTTTGGGGTCATCTGGAGGCTTTTTGGTTTTAAGGATGGGGACGATATATGCATTCCTCCATGCCCTTGGAAGTTTGCTTGACCTCCAAGTTTTATTAATAAGCCTGAGAACTACTTCTCTCCCAGACCGGCCAAGATGTAGCAGCATTTCGTTGTGGATCTTATCTGGGCCTGGAGATTTTCTAGGTTTTAATTTCTTCAGGGCTTGCTCTAGTTCATCCATGCTAAATTCATTTTCAAAAAGGGAGTCGCTGGCTGTTGGAGCTCTCTCTTGTTTCTTCAACTGAGAGAGCTCTGTTCTATTGAGTTCTGACAGCTTACCTGCTCTGTTAACTGAGGCAAAATAATGATTAAAATGTTCTGCTTTCTTCTTGTCTTCAGTGATTGTCTTACTCCCATCTGTCACTGGTTTTGGGTTCACCCTTCTACTTTCTCCGGAGAGGTTTTTAACTAAAGTCCATGCTTTATTTCCATTCTGTCTAAGGTCTAAGTTGGAGCAAGTTTCTGTCCATTTATCTCTTTTAGCCTTATTAACTACAAGCTTTACTCTGGCACATGCTTTATTGTATTGGATCTTTGCTTTTGTTGAACGTGCAGTTTCGAGAAATATTCTTGCTTTATTCCTTTCAGATATAGTATTTTGAATTTCTTGATTCCAAAAAGGTTTATATGCCTTCCGGCTGCCCCTTGGGATGGCTTTCGACGCTGCATTCAGGATTGCTTGTGTTATGTCTTCACAAAAAGTTTCCACACAGCTGTTGTCAATTCTTCCCAGGAGGCAGTCAGATGTTTCCTGAAATAGTTTCCAGTTTGCTTTTCGGAAATTCCAACGGGTTCTCTGCTTGAAGCGTAATTTAGGGGTGGTGCTTACAGTTGTGAGTATAGGTTTGTGGTCACTTCCTATGTCGTCCAGGACTTGGGGATAGCTTGCGTCTGCTAAGTCGGATGAGCAGATGGTCAGGTCTGGTCTGCTGAGAGATAGGTGGGCCCTGTGTAACAGTGTAGGTGTAGACTCTGTGTCCTGCAGCACTAATAGGTTAGTTGTTTCACAAGTATCTTCGATGTACTTCCCTGTGCTATTGTAGTCAGGGTAACCCCAACGTGGCGAGTGTCCGTTGAAGTCACCAACAAGAAGGGTTTTATGGTACTGTGTCTTGTATAGTTCTGGTATGTTGCATGTTGTCTGAGGTGGGCTGTACACGTTGTATATCGTATATTTGCTTCCATTGTGCCAGATAGTTATTTTTTGCACATCTGTAGGGTGAGATGTCGACAGCATTGTTACATCTCCTTGTATGTCATTTCTGATATAGGTCACTATGCCCCGGCAGTCATTGCACTTACAGGCATAACTAGTATATCCAGTGAGATGCAGATCAGAGTCTTTATGCAGGGTTTCTTGTAGGGCAGCCACGTGTACCCTGTGGTTGTTTAGCAGTTTGGCAAGTTCAAGTTTCGTATTTCTTATTCCACAGATGTTCAGCTGCAGAATATTGAGCATCTGTGTATTTTTTGCTGTGCTGTCTGAGTTCTTTTTGCTCTCCCTCCCACTCTTCCTCCTCCTGGGGTGTCTGTTTTCCCTATTTATTTCAAATTTTCCAGTAGCCAATTTTTCGCACATGACAGCCTGGTTTCCCACTTTCTGGCGCGGGCCTTGATAGATGAGGCGACGACCGATCTCGTATGTATTCTTAAATTTTGACATATTCATGGCATTGTGGTGCTGGGGTGTCTGTGGATTACCTACCTCCCCAGGCAGCAGCTAGAAATGCCCTGTACAGTTCTAAAGGAAATATGGGTTGTGTTTCTGCCTTTCCCTTTAACACGTAGCTAAGGTGGGGCTCACAGTGTTCTCATTCCCCGCCACCAGATTGCCTGCAGGTTTCGCTGAGCTCTTCATGTCTCTAAGCATGGCCTAAGCATGAGTAGTTGGGGCAACTGGATCGTCACGTCCTGAGTCCCTGTGCCTTAACGATAGTTTCCGGTATTCAGGGGGGTTAGCATACTTGTTTCCATTCCTAAGACTGTTCAGCACACCTCTGGTTCCTTCCCTCCCACAGGGGGCAGTACGGTGTGGTGCACCGGGTTTATTATCGAGGTTTGCTCCTCTAGATCCATTGTGTTTTGCCTGGGGATTCGCACCCCCAGTTACTGGGACTACCTCGGGGAGGCTGTGACTCTTCGCCACGCACAATGGTCTTGAGGTAAGAGAGGTTTTGCTAGGTCAAGAGGCTGACACCACAATGGACGCTCCTTTCGTGAACAGATATTCACTAGACCTAGGGTGAAGTAAGGGGGGGAACCCACTACCCACAACACCAACACTTCTTACCCCCTGCCTCTCGAGGCTCAGTCCCAATTTCTGCAGTTAAATACCAACATTAATCATTTCTTTAGCTTAATGCCGACACAACTAATTTCCCTAAGTTCTTTGTCATCCCCATGTGGAATGCAATTTTTAGTTATTTTGAAGCCCTACCATGGCTTTTGCCAGGGGCCCTAAATATATCCGGGCTTTAAATATGGCTTAGCGGCTGAATGGGGTTTCCGGGACCATTCCATGGGTGATCCTCATCTGCATGGTGGCATCTTGTGTCACCGGGTGTTTATCACTTGTGTCATGTCCTGGTCAGTTAAGTGATTCTGTGTATTCTAGTTTGTATTTGTGATAATGTGGTCTCTGGCGGCAACGCTCACTTGTCGTTTGTGTTTTGTGATAATGTGACGCAGACGAGTTCTACTTTTCATCATATTCATATAGATGAAATAGCTTGGAACCCATTTTGGGCTGGGTCGACTCAAGAGCCTTTGTCAATTATTTTAAAAAAAAGCTCTTAAAGCAACAACAAAAAACATGTTTCATCCAAATTCTTCTTCTTAATTCACCAGCTGTAAGCTCCGACGGAAAGTCCTGGCTGTTCATCCATTCGGACTCTGGCTTTGTACCAGGGCCTGAGTTTTGTGTGTACATCGCTTTAGTGGCTTATTTGTGTACAGCTGGTTGTTCCTTGCTGCTCAGGCAGGTACACTCTGACTTCAAAGAAAGTTGCCTAGGACATACTTGTTAGGGGGGGCAGTGGGTCTGTTTATGTTTTCCCCATAATGGGGCCCCGAAACCCACACAGCGAACAATGCAAATTTAAAGCCAAGACATTTGGGCCAGATAGCAAGTAACTAGACAATCAACTATCAAGAACAAAAATGAAGTAGAAAAGCAAGAGCTATAAACTATAAAACAAAGATAACCTCTATAAGCTTGTCTTCTTCTGCTTGGGAATACTGTCTTTGTCCACTTAATCTGTAGATAGTGATAAAAAATGTAACAGATTACTATAGATTATGTGAACCTGTACACGGTTCCCGACCCATCTACACACTTCCTCAGTCTGATCTAGGTCAGAGGTTTGTCACGTTGTACTGCTTTCTTCTAAAAGTCTCTATCATAGGACCTAGGCGTAGACTGTGGGGTAGGGAGGTTTCGGTTAGGGTCAGTTTTAGATGTTCTGGGATTGTTGAAAGCTGTGTCGTCTTGTAGTATAGAACATGCGACATCGGCGCTGATGTTATTAGAGGCAAGACAACGCGACACCAATCTGATGTAGAAGAGTCTAAGAAAGTATGAATGGAAGGTCAGAAAATGGCCTAAATAGGACGGGAAATGTAAATAGAACCGGCTATGTTATGTTATCACAGTCTACGTTACTGCACATTAGGAATTCCTTATGTGCTCAGTCCTCTAATGTAGCAGCCCAGCCACTCCAAGGTATCTCTACTGAATTTTTTTCCTTTGATATGTCGGGTTCAATGTCTCCTAGACCTTGAAGATGGCACCAATGGGCTTCACAAGATTTCAATCCAAGGTCATGTAAACATGTCAGAGATGTGTCATTATCCATTGTGTTGATGATATCAGCTCTGTCCATGCATCTTCCTGCATGCAGTGGTGAAATACGTGCCAGTTAGTCTGCTCTTTGATTATCTTTTATTCCAGAAAAACCCGGCATGTAGATCCAGGTGAGGGAACTTAAGTGCGACCTCTGAATACTGTCTACTGATTCAGAGTGGATGCTGTCTAGTGCAGTTCTTTGAAGCATGTTCATTGAGATTACAAGAAGTATTTCTCCTTGCTGCAACATTAGCTGTGCCACAAAAACAAAAGAACATAAGAGGAACAAAAACTGTTCTTTTTGGTTCAAATGAAGAACATGATGGCACCGTTCCGTCTTTCCAGACTACAGTGTTATAGTGTGAAGAAGCATGATCACACACACCAGTCGGCGTGGCATATGTTGACAATAATGACTGCAAGCTGGCAAAAAAGTACACTTCTTCTTATAGTCCATACCATTTGGCATAAGCAGTCGAGCTTTTAAGGGGTTGTCAAGCAACGTTGAAATTTCTGTTGTACTTGTAATTATTTGTTAGTAGAAACCCTCTTCCCCACCCTAAGGCGTATTGGGCATTTAGGACTAGGCATTTATTTTAAAAACCAATCAATTCTCAGTGTGTGATTTTGTCAACAGCACGCCGGCTGCCTTTACTTCCCAGGACGGTACCTCGTACCCATTTTAAGGCTAATTGAATCTGGAAGTCAAGGTCATTTCTGAAAATAGTCAGGCTCTTCCATGACCTCTGAACCTATGACCTTCAATAGAATATTATACTAAAGTTTTCTTTTCAGTTTAATTATAAATAAAACATTTTTTAAAACTTTTATAAAACAAGAAGCTAAGGCTGTTTTTGTTTTCAAGACCAAGATCAGAATATATGAAACGTTGCTAAGACCAATCGTTTTATAAGGCTCTGAAACTTGGAGACCAACTAAAAGAGATGAAGCTATAATACAGGTTTTCAAAAACAGTCTTACGACGAATCTTTGGACCCATCAAAGATGCAAACAGCAGGAAATTGACAGTGCGAAGCAACAACAAAATTCATAATCTGTTTAAATCACCACTGATCACCGGCATCATGAGAGCTAATAGACTGAAATGGTTGGGGCATGTTGAGAGAATGTCAAATGACAGAGAAGTAAAAACTGTATACACAAGGGAGATAAATGGCCATAGACCATGAGGCTGACTAAGAAGACGATGGAGAGATAATGTCCAGACAGACCTGCAAACACTTGGTGTCCCAACTGGAAAGAGAAGACCAACAAGAGAGATGAATGGAGGCGGGTGATATCTGCAGCAATGAACCTCAAGGGTTCGGAATGCTAAAGAAGAAGAGGAAGAAGGTTACAAACTGACTGGGAATCCTGGACAATTAGCAAACAAAAATAAATACATTTTCAGGTATCACAAAATGACTGGGAATTCTGGACAATTAGCAAACCAAAAAATAAATTTTTAGGTATTACAAAAGACTGGGAATCATGGACAACAACTAATGAACGGGAGAAACAAATTCGGGTATTACAAAATGACTGGGAATCCTAGACAACTAATAAACAGGGAAAAACATTCAGGTATTACAAAATGACTGGGAATCCTTGACAACTAATAAACAGGGAAACAAATTCAGGTATTACAAAATGACTGGGAATCCTTGACAACTAATAAACAGGGAAACAAATTCGGGTATTACAAAATGACTGGGAATCCTTGACAACTAATAAACAGGGAAACAAATTCGGGTATTACAAAATGACTGGGAATCCTTGACAACTAATAAACAGGGAAACAAATTCGGGTATTACAAAATGACTGGGAATCCTTGACAACTAATAAACAGGGAAACAAATTCAGGTATTACAAAATTAGTGAGAATCCTAGACACTTAGCAAACCAAAACAACATTTTTGAAGGCCAAACAACATAGTTTCAGACCTCTTACCTTCTTGAAGCAAATCCTTCCCTCAAGGCTGCAACCTCGTCTTGGTACCTCAGTCTGGCCGCAATGACCTCATGGATTCTTTTTCTGGCCAGATGCCCTCTGACAACGGCTTGAGCTAAGGTCACTTTCCACACAAACTCCTCTGCTAATGTGTCTAACTTCTCTTTATGCCAGTAACTCAGGAAAACCTGTCAAATTAGTCATCATTTGTAAGGAGAATGAGTTAATGTAGCGCCTTCTTCTTCTCTGCCTTTCAGCATCAGGTTTTTTAGAGGCATTGGGGGAATAGCCTTAGTATGTGCTATGTACATGCAGACATCTACTGTTTTGGCTATTTCATCTATCCGTCACCTGCATGGTCAACCTCTAGTTTTGTCTCCATTATATCTAAGCGGCAGGGCTCTCTGTGATGCACTGTCTGGTGGCATAGGATCCATCTAGTTCAATACTCCCTTTAACTGTGACAGGTCCAGCAAAGAGCCAGCAGTGGGTTCAAACCTTGCTTGAAAAAAAAAACAATAAGAAGTAATGTAACAAACACAAGGAAACTCTTCTTGTGGTTTTCAGGACCCTATAGTCAGAGAGTAAGTAAGTAAAGGACCCTTTTCTGCACCTTACAGGTGTATTAGGTATATAGGGCTAGACCTATATTTTATACACCAAACGGCACTTGGTGGGTGATGTGTTCAGAATCACGCCATCCGCCCTTACTTCCCAGGACTGCATCTGGTACCCACTCAAGGCTGTGTCGACCTGGGAGCCAAGGTCATTTTTGAACAAATCCTGCCCTCTTCAGAAACCAAACTCATGACCTTCAGATCCGCAGCGGAACGTCTAGCCACTAGACCACGACAGCTCCCCCTATTTTGGGAGAGGGAGAAAAAACAGACCCACCCCACAATAAAAACACACAATGGGATTATTTAGAGGGTTTTCCTTTAAAGTCAGAGTGCATATGCCTGAGAGGCGAGGAACCCAGGTCTGCATAAAGTAAGCCAGGTCTGTAAAAATGGATGTGCATGGAATACTCAAATTGTGGAATAAAACCAAAGACTAGAAGTGCATGAAAAGATAAACCAGAACTTCCCACCAGAGTTTACAGGTAAGAAGAAGAAGAAGAAGAAGAAGAAGAAGAAGAAGAAGAAGAAGAAGAAGAAGAAGAAGAAGAAGAAGAAGAAGAAGAAGAAGAAGAAGAAGAAGAAGAAGAAGAAGAAGAAGAAGAAGAAGAAGAAGAAGAAGAAGAAGAAGAAGAAGAAGAAGAAGAAGAAGAGAAGAAGAAGAAGAAGAAGAAGAAAAGAAGAAGAAAAAAGAAAAAGAAGAAGAAGAAGAAGAAGAAGAAGAAGAAGAAGAAGAAGAAGAAAGAAGAAGAAGAAGAAGAAGAAGAAGAAGAAGAAGAAGAAGAAGAAGAAGAAGAAGAAGAAGAAGAAGAAGAAGAAGAAGAAGAAGAAGAAGAAGAAGAAGAAGAAGAAGAAGAAGAAGAAGAAGAAGAAGAAGAAGAAGAAGAAGAAGAAGAAGAAGAAGAAACACCCATGCCAAGGGAAGGTAAAACAATAATTAAGATACAATAAGTTTCTATCCCAATCAATGAACCGTGCATAATCTCTTATTGTCTGTACGTAACTAAGAACGAATGGTTTGCTGTTATATTTTTTTTAAATTTGGCCTGAGCATACTAAGAAAATCTGAAAATATATTTTTAATGCAAAATATATGTTGCCTCTTTGAAACTTATACATTCATGCTTTGTTTTACTTTGGTTATTGTTCCACTTATGTGTCTTTTGGAACAGAATGGGTTGATAAAACAAATAAGAGTCAAAAATAATCATTCGTCCTGTCCACTCCTGTATAAATTTACTGAATAGTCAAACAAATTTTCCCTCTCCTGTATAAATTTATTGAATAGTCAAACAATTGTCCCTTTCCAACATAAATTTACTGAATAGTCAAAAACATTGTTCCTCTCCAAAATAAATTTTTAATGGTCAAACAAATTTACCCTTTTATGTAAAAATGTATTGAATGGCCAAACAAACTGTCCCTCTCCAACATAGATTTACTGAATAGCCAACAATAAAATTTGCTATCCAACATTAATTTATTGAATAGTCAAAAGTATTTTCCCTCGTCAGTATAAATTTACAGAACGGCCAAAACAAATTTTCAGCCTCAACATAAAGTATTAAATTTATAGAATGGACACATATATAATGAAAACAAAAAAGTGAGAAAACAATATGAGCATCTACACAGACAAAAAACATTAAAAATGAGAATTAGCAGATTGTATGCACACTCAAACCTATGGTATAGTGTAGAAACTTAAATATTAATGAACAACTAGAAGGTTCAAGTGCTACCATAAAGTTAAGGACATAGGGTAGGTCGGGGCAAAGACCCGCAGTTTCATGTTTTTTACACATTTCTGGAAAACCGTTCGCATGTATTCTATGAAACTTCA